CCCCCCAGTTCCCCCAGCCGCTCCCCAGCAGACCTGTGCTCCAGACCCTGCCCCAGCTCCGTTGCCCTTCTCTGGCTACGCTCGAGTCATTCAATCGCCTTTTTGGGGTGAGGGGCCCAGAACTGAACCCACTCAGCGAGGGGTGGCCTCACCAGTGCCGAGCCCAGGGCTCAGATCCCTTCCCTGTCCCTGCTGGCCACGCTATTGCTGACACAAGCCAGGATGCCGTTGGCCTCCTCGGCCCCCTGGGCACACTGCTGGCTCATTCTCACCCCCCCAGTCCCTCTCTGACTGGCAGCTCTCCAGCCACTCCTCCCCAAGCCTGTAGCCCTGCTGGGGGTTGTTGTGGCCCAAGGGCAGCCCCCGGCATTTGCCCTCAGTGAAACTCCCCCAGCTGGGCTCAGCCCATTGCTCCAGCCTGTCCAGGTCTCTCTGCAGCCTCCCTGCCCTCTCCCACCCAGCTGGGTGTCATCTGCAAACTGACTGAGGGGGCACTCGATCCCCTCGTCCAGATCATCGATAAAGATGTTAAACAGGAGTGGCCCCAAAGCCCAGCCCTGGGGGACACCACACGTGACCGGCTGCCAACCAGATTTAACTCCGTTCACCACAACTCTTTGGGCCCGGCCATCCAGACACTTTTTTACCCAGCAAATTCTCTTGGGCATATGCTATGCGGGAGGAATCTGTGCCAGCTCCTATTAACAAATCATCTAGATAGTCGGTAAATTGCTGCTACCTTGCCATTGTTCCAACTCTTTGTCCAATATATTACCAAATAGGGTAGGTTTGTTTTTAAATCCTTGTGGGGTACCATCCAGCACAATTGCACTTTTCCTCCTGTTGACGGGCTTTCCCATTCAAAAGTGAAGATTGCTTGGGTCTGCTTGTCCACTGGAATACAAAGGAAAGGATCCTTTAAATCCAAACCAGTAAAATAAGTATCAGATTTAGGTACAGCAGCTAGTGGGGTGTAAGGATTTGGTACAGTAGGATTTATGTATGTATATGGTTATTCATTTTATAGCTTTTAGAACCTGAACCATTCTATATTCTTGAGACCTGAGCTTCCTTACCGGTAAGATGGGACTGTTAACCTCAGACTGACATTCTTTAAGCAGTCCTTATTGCATAAAAGTGTTTACTAGGGGTTCTAGTCCTTTTCACACCTCCAGTCTTATGAGGTATTGATTTACCCTCGTAGGTTCAACTTCTGGCTTCAGTTCTGTTTTAATCAGGGTCACATTTTTTGCTTTGCCTGGTTTCTTTGATCGCTGGAGGGATCACTGCATTATCATTTCCAGGATGTTGTTTTCAGGTTCTTCTGAAGTCTTGTCTGTCAACAAGCAGATCTGAGCCTTCCATGCTGTTTCTTTAGGAATATGTATCTGTACAGAATTCTCAGAAAAAGTTAAGTACTTGAGCATTTAATTTGCATAATAAATTTAATCCTAAAAAAGGGAAGGAAATTCTGGCAGATATAGAAACTTGCTGAATCAATTTAATATCTCTAATTGTACATTTCATAGGTTGCAAAAATGGCCACAAGATTCTTTTTCCCATTGCCTCAACAATCAGTACATCATTTTACTAAGTTGTCCTTTACAGCTCTTTGCTACCGAATGTGTGGATCCACTTTCTGTAACAAATCTAGTATTTAATTTCTTATTTTGACAGGGATTACAAGGTCAGTTGAGGAGGCTTTTATACTTTCTCCTATCCCTGCCATCCCACTTCTCTCTGTTCAGAGTCTGACCCCTCTAAAACAGCCACAAGAACATCTTCTGGATTTTTCTTCATCCTGTTGGGACACTCATTTTCCCAATGTTCTTCTCTGTAAATAGCACATTGATTTGTACTTAAAGGAGGGTTCTGTATTTTTGGACCCCTTTCATTTTGACTTCCAGCTTTATTTCTCCCTCCAGTGACTTCCTTCCCCTATTCTATCTACTATTGCTGTGGCCAGCAGGGAAACCTGTAGCTTCATTTTTGCCTGATCCATTCTCCTTTACTCCTTGTTGTTATATACTTTATATGTAATCTCAATTAATTGTGAAATGGACATTCCCTCTGCCCCATCCACCTTTTGCAACTTCCTCCTAGTATCCTGCGATGCTTGGCCCATAAATAGCGTATTAAATAATCTCCATTTCATATTATCTTCTGGATTTAATTCTGTCAATTTCTTGGTTGTTTTACACAGCCTTTCATAAAAATCAGAGGGATTGTCATCATGTCTTGTCTGATCCCATACAGCTTAGATAAATTTTTCGGCTTTGGGACCCTGTGTTGGATTCCATATAATACCAATTTCTGATGCTGGTTTAATTCGTTCTTTCCATGTGCCATATTCGGGTTCCAATCAGGGCCCTCCCTCAGGGGTAAATACTGATGAGGGTCTTTGATTCTGTTTTTTTCTTTCCCCTTTCTCCCTGGGTTTTTCTAAAACCACTATTTTTTCTTCTGCTGTAAAGAAGGTATTCAATAATGCCTTTGTATCACCCCAATTTGGGTTGTGAGCTAACATGATAGTTTCCAAGAGCTGATGCATTCCTTTAGGATTTTCCCTATAAGTACAAATAGTTTGTTTCCAGTTCAATAAATCAGAGGTAGTGAATGGCACGTGCACAAAGGTCAGTGTGCCATCAGCACCCTCTGCTTGTCTCAAGGGTGTCTGTATTACTGGCTGGGTCTGTCCTCTAGTATGACTGGCAATAGGACTAAACCCTTAATTTCCCATGTGTTTTTTTATTTTCTTCACTCCTTTTTTTCCTCTCTACCGTCTTCCTTATTATATGGAGGTGGGGAAGAAGGGACCAACATTTGTACATCTTCCTGTTATACCCCCCCCTCCCCCCAACTACTCATTCTTTAACCTCCTTTTGTTCTAAACATGGCATAACCATATCCCCTAATTTATTTTTTTTTTTTTAATATCTGATTTCCTATACAAAGGCCAAGAGGGCATTTCTGGGCAGAGGCTCAACAAAGCTGGGCCTGGTGGCTGGTGGCTCTGGAGGAGTCATGGATGCCTTCTTCACCTGCAAGTGATGGTGCCTGAAGGGGGCCCACCGCATTATGTCCCACCCTCCCCTCCTCTGGGAATGGTGAGGGTTCCCCATGTGCCCACTTGCTCCTAACTTCCCCAGAGAAACACCCTTCCTCCTGACGAGACACGTCAGGAGTGTCCACAGAGGGAAGGACCACAGTGACAGTTAACAATCACTGTGTTAAACCACTGCACAACAGTCCCCAAAAACTGTGTCCCAGAACCACCCCTGAGCAAGTGTCTCCCTGGGCATCTCGGGGGAGAATCTGCAGGGGAAAGGATGAGACAAAGGTACGGGCTGTGATGCAGCAGAACTTTAATGAGTCAAAAAAGGGAAATGATGTCGCTCTGAGTGGGAAACCCAGTGCAGGGAGTACCAAGACAACAAGGACACGGGAGAGAAAGGAGAGAGTGGGAGAAGGTAGAGGCAGGCATGGGCTGTGCTTGGTGAGAGCCCAGGCTGGCCGTGTGCTTTTGCCAGGGGTGTTGGGGTTGGGGTTGCTCAGCCCCTCTGAAAGCAAGAACCCAGTGCCCTGTCCCAGGTCTGGTACTGTGTGTCCCTGAGTGCCTTCCCCAGGGCCGTCACCAGCAGCTTTAGCAGGGGAGGCACCTCCTGCTGCAGAGGCGGCTGCCCAAGCCGGAGAGGCCAAAGCCCCCGGAGGAGATGGGCACTCCCTCAGAGCTGAGGATGCTGCCAACGGCAGCGGAGGTGGAGGAGCCCACGGCGGTGCTCTGCGGGAAGGAGCTGAGGATGGGGCCGGGCAGGGTCACCACCACGGGAGGGGGCTCAATGACGACGGTGGAGTCCTGGCACTGCCTGACACAGGGCTCATTGCAGCTGTTGGCCAGTGGGGTCGGGCCGCAGGGCTGGCAGGGCAGGCAGGGCATGCACGGGATGTTGCAGGACATGTCTCAATGGTGGGGGAGCACCTGGGAGAGAGATCAGGGAGAAGCAGAGCCTGAGGTCTGGGTGAGTAGCAGCCTGTCATCCCACCATGAGGGATACAAGGGATGTGTTGGCTGGGGAGCTGAATGGTTCTCAGAGGAGGAGAGAAAGGAAGAGAAAGGGCTTCAGACTCACCTGATGCTCAAGGAGAAGGAGGTGAGAGAACTGGATGAAAGACTGGGTATTTGTGCTGGCTTTTATAATGCTTGAGCAGCGCCCCAGGTGTGCAGTCGTGCTATATACAGGCAGTAATTTTCCAACAGACTCTCTAATTGAAGACATCCCAACCAATGGTACAGGCCCTTTTGGTTTTCCACTGTTCAATGCTTTAATATTGTAATTTATGCCATGACCATTTCCTTTTGAGTCTCCTTTCAAGTGCTGACATGAGAGACCCAAGGATTTTTGTGTCAGGAATACATTGTTATGGGCTGAAACCTGACCCAGTTCCTGGACAGAGATCCAGTGGAGGCAAATAATAATAGTCTGAGATTTTCCTGTGGAATTGTTTGTCACCCTGTTCTAAAGAAGGGTCCATCATGCTCTGATGGTCACTGGTCTGCTTTCCAGTGAGTGGGCTTCACTGCTCATTTTGAATCTCCTCCTTCTGGGGGTCTTGCTTTTGGGATTAATCTGCCAGTCTGTTTTGCCATTTGCTCTCTCTGAGCAATCTCTTGGGGTCTCCAACCAATGCCTTCAGCATATTAGGGTTATTTCTCTGATGAATCTATGTGCAAACAACATCTGTGTTGATGCATATGTGTTTTCTCACTTGTGTGTCTGTATTCATTCTTGTATCAGAAGAATTTGTTTTCCCCAAGATCTTGGTATATATGCATGCTTAAGTGTGTGCATGCACAGAGGTGTGCATGAGCGTCTGTCTGTCTGTCCCTGCATGTCTCCTCCTCATGAGGATATGTGCTGGTCATGGCAGGGGTGCTCTCCACTCTGAACAGGATCACCACAGAGCATCAGGTTCCACAGGCTACAAGGCGGTCAGTGGCCGTTTAACAGCAATGGCACGGGTCTGGTGGAGATCTGCCCTGGGTGCTGGCACTCAGACACAACCCCTGTCTCCTGAGCTCTCTTTGTCATACTCCTCTAAAACTCACATTCTGCTACTTCAGATTTCAGAGCCTAGTGAGGACAGTTTCACACCAGTCTGGAAACACAGTTTAATTCAGTGTATCAATGTTCAAAGTGTCTTAGCATGACTGTCAGTCACCACTCACTGCCTCTCCAGGTCAGGATACGTCTTCTCCTCCCAGTGTTAAGGACTTCAAAACTTTATGTACAGGGAGAAAAACCAGGAAATCCTGCCCACTTCATGAAGGGCACTCCTGAGTGAACTTGCTTCTGTTGCAGTGTCAACAGTGTCAGGGATGGGACACAGGCCCTTTGTGTCCAAGTCAAAGCCAGGGGCACCTCTGCAGCTAATTGCCCTGAGAGTGAGTCAGGGAGGGGCTGAGACCTTGAGTCGCGGCCAAACACAAGGACAGATGACCTAGTGTCACTATGCTTTGAGAGGAAGGACAGGCCTTCTAGGCTGCAAAGGGAGAGCCAAACAGCTGACAACTCACTTGGTCTTCTGCCACACAGAGCTTTTATGTTCCACACTGAGATCCTGCCTAGGAGGGAAGGATTGTCTGATTCATTGCCACACTCCCCAGACACTGCTGCTATCCTTTGAGGAGTGTCAGGAGAACTCTTTCCCTCAGAGACTGTTGACAGTGAAAGGAAGGGCACTGCAGGAGAGGTGGAAACGCTCTTTCTATTGAGAACGGCTTCTGCAAGAAACTTCTTTGTGTTTCACCTTAGGCAGTTTCTCTCAGTAACCTTCTTCCTTTCCTCCAGACAGGCTTTCTGTGTCTAATCACTGCACAGTGGTGCTTGCTGGTGGGGAATGGGATGTGCAATAGCAGAGAATAATTCTCTTCTGTGACTGAATCCACTTTTGGGCCATTCCTCCATGGCCCCTGGAACACCCCTGGGCACACCCCCTCCACCTCGACGCAGGTAGGAAAGTGTTGGCTTTGGCTATTGTGAGGTTCCAAGAGACAGGCTCTCACTCTGCTGATTCCATCCCCGAGATGTTTTATCCAGTCTCTGAGATATATAAGTGGGAATCCTGTCACTTCTGGGTGCTACAGTCACTTAGATGTTCCCAGTCAGGCTGCACACCTAGAGAGACCAGGGAGGAGAGGAGGCTAAGAAAGAGGGAAAATTTCTCCTCAAATGAAGCGCTATAAGGAGAAAGAGAGCAGAAACTGTAAGCACAGGCAACCAGTCTGAGGAGTGACTACCACTGACTGTCAGAGTAAGCTGAGGTAGAGGGAAAGAGAAGGATGGAGCAAGCATTCCCTTGTGCATGGGAACCTGTGGGTATACAACTGAGGACTGCAATACTTAGAGTATCTGGGATCATTCCTGAAAAAAGAGTTGCAAATGAGCCTACCAAGGTACCCCAAGCTGGTGTCCCCTGCCTGCATGGGACTTCTTCAGGGCTTGAGTTCCATCCTCAGCACTGTTGCGTTCCTGTGTGGGAAATCCTTGGGCCTCTCATTCCAGCGTATGGCAGAAGCGTCTCTGGCACAAAGGGCATTTCAGAAATGAGGAAATGAAAAGAAGGCAATGAAGGAAACCAAACTGCAAGCTATGTGATTAGGAAGGGTATTCTCCATTTAAGATGAGTCTGTTGGAAAATTAGTGCCTGTACAGAGACAGCCTCAGGGCCTGGGGTGGTGCAAGAGCAGTATAAAAGCAAACCCGAAGACTGTTCTCTCATCCACTTCTCTCTCCTTCCTCTCCTTGGGAACCAGGTGAGTCTACAGCACTTTCTGCTTCTCATTCTTCCCGAGGCTGAGGTCACACACCACTGGAGACTTCAGACAATGCCTCCTCCATCATGCCATAGCAGGACGTGGAGGTCCTTGTCATAAAAATAGGAAGGGAAGGGAAGATCTAGCGTGGAGAGAGGCTGGGTCTTGGATGAGGTGTCTCCTGAGCTATGAGCTAAGTAGGGACCTCCCTGGGTTTGGCCGCTCTTAACGGGGCACATTTGGGCAGAGGGGAAGGAGATGCCCATTAGTCTCCCTACAGAAGCATTAGCTCTCCGGCCAGTATGTGCCTTTATCTTCATCATGGTGGGGTGACAGGCAGCTACTCACCCATCTCCCCTGCTCTACTTCTTGCTAACCTCTCTCCCAGGTGCACCTCTGGCCCTGAGACATGTCCTGCTACAATCCGTGCATGCCCTGCCTGCCCTGCCAGCCCTGCGGCCCGACCCCGCTGGCCAACAGCTGCAATGAGCCCTGTGTCAGGCAGTGCCAGGACTCCACCGTCGTCATTGAGCCCCCACCCGTGGTGGTGACCCTGCCCGGCCCCATCCTCAGCTCCTTCCCGCAGAGCACCGCCGTGGGCTCCTCCACCTCCGCTGCCGTTGGCAGCATCCTCAGCTCTGAGGGAGTGCCCATCTCCTCCGGGGGCTTTGGCCTCTCCGGCTTGGGCAGCCGCCTCTGCGGCAGGAGGTGCCTCCCCTGCTAAAGCTGCTGGTGACGGCCCTGGGGAAGGCCCCCAGGGACACACAGGCTGGTACCAGACTGGCTATGGAGCACTTGGTTCTTGCTTTCAGAGGGGCTGGGGAACCCCAGCACCCTTTGCAAAAGGATGTGGCCAGCCTGGGCTCTCAGCCAGCACAGCCCATGCCTGCCTTTCCCCTCTCCCACTCTCTCCTTTCCCTCGCGTGTGCTGCTTGTCCTGGGCT